ACCCTTGCCACGAGCCACTGCAGCCAGTTCTCGAAGGCCGCGCTGGCGAGGTGCACGACCGACGTCGAGATTCTCCAAGATGCAGGCGGCAGGCTGTCGAGGGCGAAGTTGGAGGAGAGAGACCCGAACATGAAGGCGTTCTTGGATGGCTGGAAATTCAAAGTAATGTCTTGGAAGTGCGAGATTGCGTGTCCTGGTCTCGCACACCTATCGCAGCTAGCCCAGAACACCGATAACAAGGTTGGCAAGGCAATGGGGGAGCTGGAGACCGCCATCGCCATCATGAAATACAAGGCGCGCGGCATGTCATGGGACAGCGCCGCTGTTGCTGCGAGCGCGACGTCCGCTGAGGACAAGTCGATCCCAGGGATCCTTGCGATCGCCAAATTCTTTGGCCACGACGCGGGCGCGCCCCTGGTCACCCGCCTGGAGAAGTTCAGGAGCTCGCTGCAGCTGAAGGTGAAGATGGGCGGCCCATATTTGGTGGACATCGCGAACATGGCGTTCAAGGGTCAGAGTTTGAAGAAGTTCCCCTTCGTTCGGTTGGGCTGCGTGGCAGTGAACCTTCTCACGCACAAAGTCGAGCATGACATTGGCATGTGCTTCCAGAAGTCCGATCTCACCTGGATCCAGAATCCGACGAACTACGCCGCAGTGGATGCATTCGAGTCGTCGGCGATGCAGTTGGACGAGTGGTTGGAATCGATGGTGGTGGAGGGCCAGCTTGGCGAGAACGATCGGTGTAACATAATGTTTAAGTTCCTCATCCGCAATTGTTTGCACCTGCGTCAGAAGGAGAAGCTCGGCTACGAGAAGAAGGTGTTCAACAGCAGCGCCGAGATCCGCAGCGCGGCTGCAAGCGATATTCAGAAAATCACGGGCGGCGTCGGCCATTGCAAGTGGCAGCCTATGGCGGTTACCACGGGGGGCGAGTGTCATCAGCCGAAGGCGGGTGCCCAGCACACGCCAGCGGCTGCCGCCGACTTGAACTCAGAGGCGAAGGTGCTCGAGAACAAGGGGTTCACCGTCGGGAAGCAGGTGCTCGAGTGCGGGGCGACACCTTTTTCGGGCCTCTACGCGATCGCGAAGATCTCGGACGGCAAGGTCGTTCTGGAGAAGGAGACGTTCGGCGGCTTGCAGCGCGCCTTCTCGGTGGAGTTGACGGCGATCGAGTTTGCCCAGAAGTTCAAGGCCGTTGCCGACGCGGCGAAGCTCCCGATCGCGATGTCCACCAGCGCCTCCACGCGTCATGTCCGATCTCGCTCGCACTTCGTCCACGACTGGGCGCGGTGCAGGGCGTGGAGAACCATTTCTTCTGTTGCGATCGGCTCGTGCATCGACGACGGGGCCTGCTTCATCTACATGTGCAACCCGAAGAAGCTGTTCACCAAGCGGGCCTTCGAGCCGAAGCAGCTCCAGATCGTTCCCAGTACGACCCTTGACGGCATCAGGCTCGACGAGAAGATGAAGTGCGTCAACTCGATGGCCTCGATCACCGTGTATCTCGACGACGACGGCGAGGCAGTCGACTTGCACTTCGTGCTCGCAGCGCCGCCCACGTCTTCGGTCAACGAGCCGACGAAGTGGGACGAGAAGGTCACGTTCGAGCCCTACTGGTGGATGGCGTCGACCAGCGACGAGAAGCTTGCGACGGTGACCAAGCAGATGGTGTGCAAGGAAGGGGTCGTGTCCCCTACATTCGTCAACAATGAAGCGCTGGGTGCGAACGCGGAGATCATGTACTTCACCCCGAAGAAGGAGAGCGCGCCGAAGACCTCGCTCGAGGAGCGCGCCACGGCCATGCAGGACCGCTGCCCCGTGCCGACGATGAGGAGGAAGCGGTTCAAGCAGGCCCCATGAGCCTCGGCATCTTCTATTGGCAACCTGCATAGACAAGAGATGGAAGGCCCCTTGCGTTGGGCTTGGGGAGGTTCTCTTGCTGGAAAACTTCGTGTGTCATATTGTGGTCCGATGTTTGTAGTGCCGTATTGTTTAATAATGAGTGTTTGTGGGCTGAGACAGCAGCGTTTTTCAGGACACGGTTCGTTTTTTTCGATCGTGCGTTTACAATCGGTGCGGTTTGATGTTGGTCAGCTGGCAAGCGACAAAAAATATGGAAAATAGAAAGCGGTGTGGTTTGATTGTTCAGCAGAGCTCAGTGCCACATGAAAGTCAGCAGGCGCGTTTAGTTCATCACAGTTTGCGTGGGAGGGGGGATGCGGAGAAGGAGAGGGAGACTGATGAGGAGAAGTAGGGCAGGGAGGATGAGCATCAGAGCACCCGCACACCCCATGCATTGTTGAAGTTTCGCGTGCCCCCCCACCAGCCCATCCAGAAACAGTCACCAGACGAGTTACCCTGAGCATGGTATTACAGGGGTCTTTGCAGGGCTTAATCTTCGCGTACCCGCGCTAGCCCATCCAGAAACAGTCACCATGCAAGTTACCGTGGCCATGGTATTGCAGAGGTCGTTGTAGGGTTTAAGCTTCGCGCGCCCTCACCAGCCCATCCAGAACCAGTCACCCGACGAGTTGCCCCTGATCGTGGCATTGCAGTGGTATTTGCAGGGCTTTGCAATTGGCGTTGCAGCACATTTCCCATGGCCGTAACAAGTGTGATGGCTCAGGCTTAATCAGTGCACCTCGTCATCGCGACTGTGAGTTTCCGTTCGTGTCAAGTCTTGTGATGGAAGGTCCACCGCCCGCGGAATGCGATGGTGCCGCGAGCCCCAGTCCGCCCGAGACGGTGGCCGAGGAAGATCCGCGGGAGGCGGCATTAGCAGAGCGCCCTGAGTTCGAGGAGGACATCCCCGAGTCCGAGAAGGAGAAGCTCCCCGAGTTCGCGGAGGGGCCCGAGAATGGGAAGTTCAAGATGACCTTGAAGCACACCTACACCAACTTCCACAACATCCCTGATAGCGTCGACGTGCGGTCCGTGTTCAGGGACATGATGTCCAAAGCAGGCCGCACAGACTTCGAGGATGATACGCAGAAGGGTGGCGTCAAGCGCAAGATCAGCGTCACTTACGCGTGCGTGGAGACGTGCAGCCCACAGTCTACCCAGCGGGCTCACCCATCGAGTTCATCCAGCGACTGAGGCCCGATCTCGGCTCCAAGTTCCTTGCGCGCGGCGATTGCGCCGCCGACCTCCACTGCGCACATGTCGGTTGTGCGTTTGAAAAGTGATGGTTGTTCCCACGCAAGCAAGCGCGTGTTATTGTTTTCATGTTATCCCCAATGGCTATCGCCAACTTCCGCCGCCCCGCGCTTCCGCGCAGCCCGTCGCCCTTGGATGGCCCGAGGTCGGTTCCTTGGGCCCTCGAGAGGGCCCTTGGTCGGTTCTTTGGGCCCCCTCTCGGGGCTTTCATGCGCGTGCGCGCGGTCGGCCCATGGAGCCCCGCGGCGGAGCCCTCTTTGGTCTTCTCGGGTGCGCCCCAAGACGGCCCATGACAGGCTGCCAGCAAGTGTTTGTTTGAGAGGGCTCCCCAAAAGCGCTTCCCACGGTTGCCCAGGGTATGCCCCGAGAGGTCCAAATGGGGCTCCAGAGAGCCACAGGGCATTCTTGGGCCTTCTTGGGCCCTTCCAAAAGCCTTCAGATGGTCCCAAGAGGGCCTCAGGAGGGTCCCAAGAGGGCCCCAAGAGGGCCCCGAGAAGGCCCCAAGAGGACCCCAAGAGGGCCCCAAGAGAGGCACCAAAGGGGTTTCCAAGAGGACCCTACGGGGGATCCAATAAGGCAAAGTGGCTGAAAATATGTTCAGCCACTTTGCTTCCCAAGACATGCTTCTTTGGGGCCCTCTGAGGGCCCTTGGAGGGGCCCAAGAGGGCCCCAGGAGTGTCCCAAGAGGGCCCCAAGAGGGCCCCAAGAAGGCTCCAAGAGGACCCCAAGAGGGCCCCGAGAGAGGCCCCAAGAGGTTCCCAAGAGGACCCTAAGGGGGATCCAAGAGGGCAAAGTGGCTGAAAATATTTTCAGCCACTTTGCTTCCCAAGACATGCTTCTTTGGGACCCTCCGAGGGCCCTTGGAGGGGCCCAAGAGGGCCCCAAGACGGCTCCAAGAGGGCCCCAATCGTGATTCCCATCTTTTGGGGCCCTCTCGGGGCCATCTTGGAGCCCTCTTGGAACCGTTTTGGGGCCATCTTGGGACCCTCCAAAAGTTCTCAGATGGTCCCAAGATGGCCCCGAGACGGTTCCCCGAGGGCCCCATGAGGGCTTCCAAACCATATGGAAAAGCTCGTTTTGAAAGCCTCTCAAAACGAGCCCTGGCGGTGCCCTTTTGGAGCCGTCTTGTGGGCTTCTTGGGGCAGTATGGGGCCTTCTTGGGCCCTTCCACATGGGCTCTTGGGCCCCTCCACATGGGCCCCCGAGTTATTTACCCTTCTGGGGTCGACTTGGGGCTGTCTTGGGGGGTGTGGGTGGGGCGTGTGGTGGTTAATCGTAAGTTCCGCTCGGGGCTCGTGCTGGGCCGCCCAAGCCCCCCGCCCGAGGAAGGGCCCCGAGAGGCTGCAACTCCATGCGACGGCTCATCGCCGAGTCCGCCGCCCTTATTTATCTGCTGGCTCCTCGCCGCGCCCGCCGCCCTTATTGGGGCCCGTCCTCCTCCTCATCATCCTCCTCATCATCTTCATATCCCCCTCCTCCTCCTCCTCCTCCTCATAATCATCATCATATCCTCTTCATCCTCCTCCTCCTCCTCCTCCTCCTCCTCCTCTTCCCCCTCCTCCTCCTCCTCCTCCTCCTCCGCACCCCGCATTTCTACCGCGTTGAATTGCCATGCATACGCGTTGCATTTGCATCCCGTTGCTTGCCTGGGGGGCGCGGTGATGTAGTCTGCTCCTCGTGGCCTTCTCGTGGATAGCATTGCGTCGCATTGCGACTGCGCTGAGTTGCCAGGTCACTTGTGCGAGCTCGGGCCCTCTGGTGGGATTATGCCCCTGTCCCTCAGCAGGCGGCGCGGCTCAAGCTTCTGGCACGACTTTACCCGCTCGCACGCATATCGTCCACGAATGCCCTCTGCCACGATCGCATGGAATGCGTCCATCAGGTTCAATGGCAGAGTGATGACCATATGTGAGAAGGATATCGTGGACATCGGTGGCACGAAGTGCATGGTTATAGTTCCGTGGAGGGCGCCGCTCATATCGCTGCTCACGGGCGTGCCGCAGACGGTGATATCCGATACTGCCAAAGTCAGGGGCATGAAGGTCAGCATCGCAGGACACGAGCGTTTCAAGAGGCTCGTGAAGGCGAGGAACGCTGCACAATCGACCAGTCTCCTCGGCAACGACATGGTCTCGGAGGAAGGCGTCCAGCGTCTGTTCGGTGACGGGGCTGGCGCCGAAGCAGATCAGCCGCCCGTCGTGTTCCCCAGGCGAAAGCGCAAGCGCGATGGCGAGACCTCCGACGATCCCCCGCCAGGCATGATCACGGCGACGGTGGACGGAGTGCGGATCGAGTGCGTGAGGCCTACGATGTCTCGCGAGAGTCTCTGCGTCCCCCTCGACGAGACGAACATCAGTGCGCTCTTGGGTTACCTTCACCAGGGCATCAACAGCCTCGAGGACATCGCCAGCGCGCACGAGTGGGCGGGCCGTTACCCAGGGCGCTACAAGAAGAAGGAGACGGGCGCGTGCATGGGCCAGGTGGACCACGGTACGCCGACCAAGCCGTGCGAGGGCAAGGACCTCGGTGCGTCTCCGAGCAGCGACGTCGGTGCGTCTCCGAGCAGCGGCAGCGGTTCGTCTCCGTGCAGCGGCAGTGGTGCGTCTCCGAGTGGCGGCACAATCCTCGAGCAGCTTCGCCGATGCTCCTCGAGTGGCGCGCCAGTCGGCGCCCCCTCCCAGCAGTGGCGTCTGTCAGCCACACACGGTGCATAGCATAATTGGCAGTGCCCGCGCGGGGTGCGGGCCGCCGATTGGGCGGACGTGCGTCGCGGCGCGTATGCGCGCTGCGGTGTTGGCAGGCGGGTTAGGGGATGCCCGCTGCATAGGCGAGTGTAACTGACGCACACATGGTGTTACGATTGCCTCTTGAAGACAATGGTTGCCCCCTCAGTCCTAGATTGCCTCTGATACCGTATTCGCCATTTCACCGCATGCGACGACGAGATGCGGGCCCACTGGGGCCCCCGAAGACGACGACGACGACGACGTCGGGCCCCCGAGGTGATTGACAGGGGTTATCTTGGAGCCGTCTTGGGGCGTTCTTGGGCGCATCTTAGCCCCCTATTGGGGCCATCATGGTGCCGTCGTTGGGCCTCGAGGGGGTGCCCTCAACGAGCCTCGGGGGAGCCCCGAGACCACCCGTGAGGGATGATACTGCGCGGCGGAGCGAGCGACGGGGGCTTCGGTCGAGGGGGCGGGGGCCGCGAGGTTGGGACGAACGCAACTCCGATGTGGTTCGGCCGCCCGCGTCGGCGAATGAACTGGCCGCACACTTGAACAGTCGGATCCGACTGTTCAAATGAGTTGCGCGGCCACTTGAACAGTAAGATCCGACTGTTCAAGTGGTGGCGCGGCTCACTTGAACAGTCGGATCCGACTGTTCAAGTGGTGACGCCGCTCATTGGAACAGTCAGGTCCGACTGTTCAAGTTGGCGGCGGCACCTCCCGATCTCTGGGCCCCCGCCTCCACCCCCTCGTCCACGTTACCGCCAGCGCCGCCCCATCTCGCGCCCCTCGCCGCCCTCCCCCGACCCTCGTAGTTGCTACAGTCAAGCGTGCGGTTGGCACACTCACCGTCCTCCACAGATCCCTTGGGCGCCCCCGAGCCCCGCTTCGGTGTGCGTATCGGGCTCAAATGTTATGGCGTTGCACGCCGTGTGGTTCACATCGCACTGGTTCGGCACTCCGCGACACAGCCATGGTTGCATCGCTTGTGAGGCAGCTTGTGGACTTGAAGGAGTTCCATGCCAAGCACCCAGACAAGTCGGCCAAGCTGCTGCAGCCCACGGCCACGTCGATCGTCGCCAAGATCAGCCAGCTGCCGTCCCTCACGCACGATGAGACGATCCAGCTGATGGACGCGGCCGCGGCAGTACTTGGCGAGTACGCCGACATGGTCGTCACCGCGTGTACCGATCGCATGCTGGCCACGGTCGCCCATTCGGTGGCGACGTCTACGAAATGCCAGAAGTTGACCAACGTGCAGTGCTTCCTCACAGAAGCCGATTGGGAGAAGTTGGACATCCATTCTGGTTTCCAGACGTGGCAGTCAACGATCAGCGACCGCTTGCAGAACCTCGGGGTATACTCCCCGCACGAGCAGACCGTCAAGAGCGCGATTGCGTTGCTGCTGTGGCTCAAGCACCAGAAGGGCGAGCCGTGGCCAAGAGTTGAAGACACCGCCGACATGTCGGCGGACTTCAAGGCGACGTTCCCGATCAAGCAGGAGCTGGCGAAGTTCAACCCTGGCATGCATACCTTCCCCGACAGCCCCAGCGACCTGCCGAAGCACATCTACGATCGTGCGTATGGCGACTCGCGGCCTGTCGAGCGGGTCACCCCCGAGTTGGCAGGGATCCGCATGCACAGGGTCAGGGTTCGGAAGGCCGCGGGCGCGAAGGGCGCGACCGAGCCTCATGACGTCGCCCCGCAGATGCGGAGGCAGCCACTTGCGCTACAAGACCGCCCAGCAGCCAGCGACGACCAGCAGACCATCGCCATGCCAGACGGGTCGACGATCACGATCCTCAAGCCTGGCCCAGGCAATCCGCAATCGAGCAGGGGCTGGCCCCAGCCGCGCAGGCCATGCACGCTCGAGGACTACGACAACGAGCAGCGCCCGCGGGGGGCCGCGCGCCGCGACGGCGCGGGCTCGGCGGCCAGCCACGATGCGAGCCGTGCCTCGCATGTGGCAGGCGGGCCACCGCCCGAGCCGCCCGCAGATCGCCCCTCCGAGGGGCCCCCGCCCTCGGCAGAGCCAATCGGGCATCCGCCCGCGGCGGCGCCCGCCGTCGACCCCAGCATCGAGGCGGAGAGGAAGGCGTTCGATGCGCTCTTGATGTCGAAGGAAGAGAAAAAGGCCAAGACCGCAGCTGAGCGCAAGGCGAAGAAGGCTGAGGAGGCGGCCGCGAAGCAGGCTGCCAAGAACGCATCGGGCACGAACAAGAGCAAGAGCACGGGCAACGGCAGTGGCACAGGTAAGCGCAAGGGCACGGGCAGCCAGTCGGGCATGAAGCGCCCCGCTGCCGCGGCGGGCTCGAAGCTCGGCCCGAACGCGTGCCCGAAGAAGGCCAAGGTGTTCGCTGGCGGCAACTTCGCCGAGTTCACGAAGAAGAGCGACGTGCCGAACTATTCGAGTTTCGGTTCATTCACCAGTCGGGCTTACAAGGGTGCGTTGTACCACACTGGCGACGTTGAGATCGCCAAGCGTGCATTTGCCGCGGCAGCACAGTGCTGGACCGCTGTGAATGGCTAAGAATGCTGCGCATTCGTTGCTGTAGCTGCCCAGTCGTAGTAACTCCTCTAACCTCTCCGACGGCGACGGCGACGACGACGACGAGACCTCATCCTTCCGCCTCTTGGCACCCACCTCGTCCCACGCTGCTTCTCGCTCATCCCAGCCGATGGGGCGCTGGGGTTTGCATCGTTGTTGAGACAGAGGCTCGGGAAAAAAAAGGAAAACACTGCCGTTGGGCGTCGGTATTGGCCCCGATGCGGGTCTATGCGTGCTCGTTTTGAATCAGCAGCGCCGCGCCCTCTCTTCGCCTTCGCATGGGTTCCTCGCATTGAACCCGTTGGGTCCCCGTTTTGAAGCCGCATCGTCACGCGCCCGCGGCTTCCTCGTAGCACGCGTGCGGGTCCTCGTTTTGAATCCGCAGCGCCGCGCGGCCCCTGCTCCATCATGTTGGCTCTCTTGGGACCATCTCATGGCAATGTCGGAGACCCCAGTGGAGGCCATCCTGGAAACAGCGCGGGGCCACTTTGAGGCCGTCATGGGGCCCGTTTGGGCCACCCCTAAGGCCCGCTATATGCCGCGTTG